TTTTAAATTCTCTTCACGTGGATTTTGCTTCATGGAAAGTAAGAAAGGAACATAGAACAGTATAACCATAGAGTTGGAGGTCTTCTAGGCCAACCTCCTGCTCAAACAGGGGACCCTCTAGTACCATTCTGAAGAAATGGCTGCCCAGCCTCCTTCTGGAGCACCCACCATTTCTGGAGAAAAGCGATTCCGCTGGTTATTTGCCCTTGCCATTAGGTGATTTCTCCTTAGCTCTGGGTTCTCTCTCTCTCCTTGGCTAATTTCCAACCGTTGTTTCTTGCCTTTTGGTGCTTTGGAAAATAGTTTGACCCTGTAAGAGCCCCTCAAATATTGGAAGACTGCCATCATGTCACAGCTAATCAATCCTTCTCTTTTCTAGGCTAGCCATACCCAATACCCGTATAACCACTTTTCCTGTTTTAGCCTCCAGAGCCCAGACCCCCTAATCATCTTTGTTGCTCTTTTCTTCAAGGAAATGGTTGCTAGCGCTTATTAGTCCACCACTCAGAATATAGGGATCATAAATTGAATAAAGAAGAAATAAATAATGTAAATACATAGCAGATATATTCGGGGAATAGTTTGAGAAAAGTTGCTTTGGATCATAGTAAGGAAGCGGCCAAATGAGAGATTTTAAAAGCTTCAAGGAGAGCTGCGTGAAAGAATTGAAGCAACAAATGTGAAGCTGCTGCTTAGAAATCCATTAAATGATTTCACTGTGCTGCGTATTGCAGGTTATGGATTACGTTACGCTTAAAACAAGCCAATTCCTGACTGAATTGGCTGTAAAGTTCACCTGGTATTCTGAACTTTCCTCAGAAATAGAGCCAGGCATGCCACCCAGCCTGAGAGAGGGGCCCAGCGGGGAGCTTGGGCTGGGAACCTCTTACCCTTCACCTTCACCTCCAGGGAATCCTGCCCATCCTCAATCCCGTGTTGAGCATCACAGCGATACAACCCGGAGTCGTTGGAGCGCAGCTCACTCAGGACCAGGGTGGCATCCGTGGGCGAGTCAGGGTAGAAGGGCAGGAAGACTCGGTTGCGGTAGATTTCGCTGACTTTGACCTTCAGGCCCCGGGCCACAAGGATCTCGGCCTCTTTGCCGTCAGCAAGGAAGGTCCATTTTACTCGGAGGGTGCCCCGAACCCCGTGGCGGCTGGCTGTGTCGGCAGTGGGCAGTGGCCGCAGGTAGGTGATGTGGCAGGGGATGGTGAGGCTGCCAGACAGGACGGCTCGGATGGGCGGATATTTGGAAATGGAGACCCGGAGAGCTTTGAGGTCATCTGAGGGGAGAAAAGGAGAGACAAGCCTTGAGAAGCGGGGGGGTGGGGGGTGGGGGGGGAGGCACCTGCAGAACTGGCAGGACTGAATGGGTCTTTTGGGACGGTCCTTTCCCCTTGTGGCTGCTCCTCCACCCCTTTCTTTGACTTGCAAAGCTGAGGCAATGGCTGAGAGTGGCATCTCCGGAGGGTCAAGTGCAGCATCCTGACCCTGGAGATGCCTCTCCCCTCCACCAGTTTTGGGAGACAGACCATGTTGTGTTTTGCCTCTTCCATCCATTTTCACCAGCATAATCCGGGAGGAGCTCCTGAGAGGCCTGGGGGCACCGGAAGCGGCCATTGCCCTCCGGCCCCTCTTACCAGAAGGACAGAAGGCTGCAGCCTCTGGGCCTGGCTGCCATGCTTGCCTTCTGCGAGCCCCTCCCCCTCCAGAGGGGGCTTGGCCCACCCCACCCAGCCGCTTCTTCTGTCCTGCCCCCCCACCACGTTACCTGTGCTTTCCCTGACAAAGTGGAAGGCTGCCCCCAGAGACACCAGCTGGGCCAAGGCAGCGCAGAGCAAGAGGTCCCGGCAGAGGGCCATCCTGGTCCTGCTTGTGGGGAGGCAGGAAGCTGGGCTTAGAGGGAGGGGAAGCTTAAGCAGTGGCCTTTCCCCTCAAGTTCACTAAAAGGCGAAGAAAGAAAAAGAGGGAACGTTTCATAAGTGGCCAAGAGGCCAAAATGCTGTAATGGTGATTGTGTGGCAGTCGGACAAGGCTCTTTTCTGCACCCGATTGTTACCCATAAAGACCTGGATGTCACACACCCCTGCCCCCCTATAGCACAGTAGTCAATTGGGGACTGACCTCCAATTTGAGAAACACCCCCCCCCCCCGCACCCCAGGGAAAGGAAGTATTCAAAGTGGACCCATTCCGACCGCTTTGCAGTCTCCCCTCCAGCTTCTCTAGCTCCATCGCCCAAAGAAAAGAAAAAAACCTTAATTGGGAAGCACAAGGCAATGTTACATTTGCCACCACGAAGGAGCCGAAGGAGCCGGGAAGAGAAGCGCCTTTGGGAGCACAGAGAGAAGGCCCTTTGGGAGGGGGGGGGGGGAAGCTCCTAGAGAGCACAATGTGGAAATTGCAAGGACGCCACCTGCTGGCCTTTCATGGAGAAGAAAAAAGTAAAAGAAATCCCCGCGGGAGGAATTCAGATCGAACTGCCTTTGGTGAAGAAAATGTTGCTAGACATACAATAGCATGTGGTAGGTAAAGGTCACCACGAACGAACGTATACTGTAAGTATGGTGTAGAGGAAGCTTGCCAGACTCTGCCAGGGAGGAAAAAGACTCGTTTAGTACTGACAACCTTCACCCAGGGAACCACCACCGTCCCCGACCTCTGCCTTTTATTGCCAAATAAACAATCTCCCAGCCCTCGTAGGGAGGTATAACGGAAACAGCTACCAGAGCCCAGTGCTTCTGCCTCTCTCGCTCTCTGCTCCCCCCCTCTCCTTCTCCCCCGCCACTCCCTCCCTCTCTCCACCCCCTCTTGCTCCCCTCCCTCCCTCTCTCATTCCCTCCCTTCCTNATTTTGGAAAAGTAGTTCCAGGTCAGAAGGCATTAATATTTGCATTCTGCTTCTTTTTCTCCATATATACATTGAAATGGGTTTCTGGGTAAAGAATACAGAGGTATTTCCTAGGCATGAATACTGAACAGAATTATAACTAAGAAGCCAACTAGATTTTGTTAATGCCTGCAGACCAGAAAGTTAAGAACTGAAAACAAAACTTTAAGAGGCCTAAGAAAAAATGAAATAAAAACACGCATACATTTCAAAAGTAAAATGTTTTAAGCATCCAGAATATTTCTGTCCAGGCAGAGATATTCTTAGGGATAGCGTTGCAGCCCATCCCAGGAAATGCGTTTTTGCTGCAGGATTTTCAAAACGTTTTTGCGTTCAAATAAAATTCACAGCAATACCGTTGTTAAAGGTGCCTTTTACTGTCCCAGCAAACCTGGTCACTAGCAAGCGGGACGGACTCATTCCGCATCAGTCCAGGGGCTTCCGGACCGACGACGCACAGGGCCAGCCGCCCACCCGCCGCCGCGCCCCCTTACCTGACGGTCTGGTCCGCCAGCCAGCCGGCATCGCACTGCTCGTAACCGCTGCGGTAGGCGGCGTGGAGCTGCTCGGGGGTGGCGATGGCCGCCCCGATGCGGGCGCAGGCCGCCTGGGCCTGGGGAAAGGTGTACGCGTAGCGGGAAGACCCTCCCCGGTAATGGAAGACGACCCCTGCAAGGCGAGAGAGAGGCCTGGGCGCCTGGCGGGACAGGAGGCGGCAGATCCCGGGCCCCGCCGCCAGCCCCGGCTGCTTCTCCTCGGTGGGGCCGGGTCCCTCAAACGCTCTTGCCGCCCCGCCCTCCTCTCGCCGGCCCCGGCTTCTGCCTGACCTCTCCCGGGGCTTGTTCGGCTCTCCCGCTCTCTGTCGGGCGGGAGCGGAGAGTCGGGTCGCCGGAGCCCAGGGGGGAGGCGAACCCAGCGCCTTTCTCTCGGAGGGGGCTGAGGGGAGCAAGACCGTTGCAACTGCCAGGCTAACTTCCCTAAGGGCCCCGCCCTCAGCTGTCCAGGTAGCTTCCTGGTGGCCCCTTTCTTCCCGCACCTAAAATGACGCCCCCCCCCCCCATGGGCCGCTTCCTCTCAGCTCTCCCTTTCCTGGGGTGGGACTTTTTCACAGGATTTGCTTCCAACATCTTACTCCCTCTCCCCCCCCCCCCCCCCCCCCTCCCTTTCCTGGGGTGGGACTTTTTCACAGGATTTGCTTCCAACATCTTACTCCCTCTCCCCCCCCCCCCCCCCCCCCTCCCTTTCCTGGGGTGGGACTTTTTCACAGGATTTGCTTCCAACATCTTACTCCCTCTCCCCCCCCCCCCCCCCCCCCTCCCTTTCCTGGGGTGGGACTTTTTCACAGGATTTGCTTCCAACATCTTACTCCCTCTCCCCCCCCCCCCCCCCCCCCTCCCTTTCCTGGGGTGGGACT